GGGAGGGGGCGGGGCGGGGGGGCGGAAAGAGCCGAAACGATGGCCCTGAGCTCACGGCGGGGATCCGCCGGCTCCTGTGAGCTCCTGGGCCCTCCCGGAGAGTTCCCCTCAAGCGCTACATCCTGCCCCGCTGCCTCTCCAGCTCCCACCTGCGCTGCAGGGCTCGGCAGACGCGGCTCCCCCGGTGCAGACGGGGCAGGCACAGGGAGCCCTGCCCGAGGAGCTGGTCCCGCTCCCAGCAGCTCCCAGCGCCTCCCGTCCCGCAGCCGGCACCGCCAGAACTGACTGTCCGGGCCGGGGAAACGGGCCACACAGTGAAGCTCCTGCTGGTGAAAGGAACCCACCTCACTCTGAGCTGCCAGGGTCTGTAGGGCCAAGGCTGGGGCTCTTCTGGACACCCTGGGAACTGTTAACAGCTCAGAGTGACACTGGGAACGCCAGCCCATCACTCACAGCAGCACCCCAAGTATGGTGGGGAGGTAACTGCCTGCAGGGAGCTGGCAAAGGCTGCGAGCATGTGGGCACAGTAACTTGGTGCATGTATCCATGGACAGAAAGTGGCCCCCAGGAAAAGGAGGGCAGCTTTGAACCAGCAGCCAGGGCCCCCACTGCTCCACACCATCCAGGTGACCTTGGAAGCCATTTGCCAGGCCTGAGTAAAGTGACAATAATCCTATTCGCCTTTTAGCCTCATTTCCTCGGGCAACAAAGCACATGCCCTCACCACGTGCAGTTGTGTCACTCAACCCAATCCCCTCTGCCCGGGGGGGCACAGAGAGCCCCAGGCAGGTGGTTTGCCAGGGGCTGGTCCCTGTCACAGCCCTCAGGAGCCGGCACTGAAGCTGATCCCCCCTCCAACTAGATGATGCCCCCCAGCCGAAGCAGGCCAGGGGGAGTCCCCAGGTCCCAGCACTCAGATCGGGGCAGCCACAAGGGCCCTGGGCACCTGGCAGGTACTGCTTCACCAGCCTGGTGCTGCCTGGGCAGGTCTGCAGAGGAGCAGGAAGAAGAAACACCTTCCCAGTGCTGGAAGGCCCAGAGGGCTCAGCAGAGTCCATCCTGCCCAGGCAGAGCCTGAGCCTTGGCCACGGCACCAGGCAGCAATGCTGATCCCTCCCTGGGAAGGGCAGAGATGCTCCCCAGGCAAAGGCAACGTGCCCTGACTCTGAGCAGCCAGCCCTGGCTGCCAGGGAACCCCACAGCCCAGGCATCGAGCGGGGCAGAGCCTCACCCATGCACCACACAGCCATTCCCTTCGGTACTTTATTAAATAGTTTCAAAAAAACAGAAGCAGAAAGACTCAGAACTACCCCGTCCCTCCCAGCTGGTTAAAAACTACAAACAGCCCAACCCCAACCCCTGCAGTGCCCCACAGCTGCTGGGCACCTTCTGCCCCATATCCCAGCCATTCCCACCCCACCCTGGAACCATGGGAAGGGGCAGCAGGAGGATCCCCTGAGGGAGGGCAGTGCTCACCTTGCAGCCCATCCTGCCCTGATATCCCCAAGGCTGTACAAAGCCACACAACGCTCACACGCCTCCCACCCAACCCACCACTCACTGGGTCTGCAGCCCCCCAAACCACCCCCCCCCCAGGGCTGATGAGGAACTGAATGTGCCCAAATGAGGGGCTGCACCACCAGGCTTTCCTGTCACTCCTCACGCAGCGAGAGCCACCAGCTCCACAGTTTCTGTGGATTCATGGATGCCCCAACATAACTTCCCCCTCCCCACCCACCCCCCACCCAGGAAGTTTATAAAATAGGGGTTTTGCTTTTTTTTTGCTTTTTCTACAAAGACAGCGGTGGGGTTTCCTTTGCAACAGCAGAACAGTCTCCCTGCGAGGTAGAGAGTTAATTTCAGGGCTGAAAGATCCTAAATTCAAACCAGTGTGTCCTAGTTGAGGTAAAATTCAGTAGTTTACAGCAAGTTTTGCGATGCCAGAGGGCCATCAAGATTCCTCATTGCCAGAGTCATCCTCATCACCATAGCAGCTGTCTGCTTCCTCCTCCATCTCATCATCCTCATAATAGTCATCATAGAAGAGGTCGGAGCCCTCATCTGGGGCTGGGGTCTTGGTCTTCACGCAGTACTCGGCCAGTGTGGTGGGGACCTTCACACCATCCCGCTCCGCATCCACCTTCGTGCCCAAGACTTGCTTCCTGGAAGGCAAGACATGGGGGTGAGAGTGGAGCTTTGCAGAGCACCTCCCTCCCCGAGGGATGAGACAGCCCTGCACAGCAAGGCTGGGCTGGCACCACATCTGCTGCAGACCCAGATCCTTGGCTCTGGAGCTGAAAAGGCCCAGGGCTGAGGTTGGGAGCAAAGCCAGGCAGGTATCCCAGGGTCCTTCCCTCCTGCCAGCCCACAGACAGGACTCAGCAGAGCAGGACATGCCCTGGAGACCCTGTGTCCTGCAAGGTCACAGCTCAGCACGTGTCCCTGCTGCCAGGCCCGGGCTGGGCCCTGCACACACCTGATGATGTCCGTGTACTCCCGGTCCTTCCCTTTGCTCTCCTTCCACTTGCGGTACATCACCGAGGCGTCCACGTTGGCTGGAGAAAACGTGTTGGGTTCGTTCAGCAGCGAGATGACGCTCAGGAGGATGGTCCTGGCAACCAGGAAACACGAGCAGGTCAGCAGCTGCTCAGTCCCAGCGATGCAGCCTCCATGTTCCCTGGGCTGGGAGGGCCTGGAGCAGTCCCACCAGCAGCAGCCCAGGCAGCAGCCCCCGGGCTGTGGGGCTCAGCCACCCACGCTCCCACGCAAGCTCTGGCTGTTCTCCAGCAAAGCGTGCAGCCTGAGAGCATTTCAACACCCTCCAGGCATCCCCCGCAGGACTTGGGGGTGGAAGGCAGTCCCTACATATCCCGGTCCCACCCTTGCCCTCAGACGGGCCCCTCCCCCAGCCCTTACCGCACGTTCTGGGTGGGGTTCCAGCGCTCCGAGGGCAGCTCCCCACTCTGCGGGTCGTCCACGGGTGGGTGCAGGATGGAGATGCAGACATCGCCAGTCTGAAAGCACACGGGGAACAGGGCCCTGAGGAGCTGCAGCCCCAGCCTCCTCCAGCAACTCCTCCAGCCTTTGCTCCTCTACCCTCCTCGCTATGCA